CTAGTCTAGGGTTTGGCTTTCATTTTACGTTAAAAAATTATGTATTTATTATGTGATTCATTTGAAGGGGGCATGGGGGGGGGGGAGAGAGAGAGATCTAGCCACTGTTCACATTCCAAATACCTGCACTGGCTAGGGCTGGGTCAGGTGGAAACCGGAAGTCGGGAACTCAGTCTGTCTCCCACATGAGTGGCAGGGATCCAGGGACTTGAGCTGTCTCCCGCCGCCTCCCAGGGTGCATCAGCAGGAAGCTGGCACCCAGAGCGGCACCCTGACAGGGCTGTGGGCCTCCTCAGTGGCATCTGAATGGCTAGACACTCAAGACCACGCCTGGAGTTTGACTTTTAGTCTAATATTATGGCATGTTTTGGCAAGCTTTGGTACTCTGGTTGTCAGGGGCAGGAGGTATCTGTTATGTCTGTGGCTATAGCTGGCACTCAACCAACATTAGCCAGGCAAGGAGTGGGCCACGCTGCCTACAACCGGATCCTTGGTCCTCTCAGGACAAGGCTGCTGAAGAGAGCCCCCAGGCCCCCAGGCAATGGGCTCCCCAGAGGGCAGCAGGACATGGGAGGGTCCTATGTTCTCAGACTGGGTGCAGCTCTGGCATGGGGACCTCTGCCTTCATGGGAGCGTGGGCTGGGGGTGGGGCAGAGGGAAGGCCCTGACAGTCTACAGGGGATCCACCCCTGTCCGTGGGAACCCGGAGTTCGGGACAACGGAAATGCCATTGAGACTGTGGCCGGGGCCCTGGGCCAGACTGCGCAGCCTTTCACCAGAGACTTTGGGTTGCAGCAGAGAGCGCGGTTTCTGGGTTGGAAACAGAAGAAAGAGGGAGGAAGTGGACTGGCTGGGGGTGCCGGGCTGGGCCTGTGGTTACCGATGGAAACCTGGAGCCCTGCGCCGCCTGCATCATTCTTTCTTTCAGCAGACTCGCGGGGTCCGCCCTGGGCCAGGAACCGGCCTGACCTCTCAGGCGCGGTGTGTGTCGGCAGCCTTTCCTCTGGGACGGGAGGGGACGATCCAGAGAGGGGGTGGGGGCCAGGGGTCCTGCTGGGCCAGGGAAGGGACCCTGGAGACGGGGCGAGCCCCTCATGTATCTCGGTCCTCGCAAGAGCCTCTGAGATGGACCTTATGGTTTCCATTTCCAGACAGGAGACAGGAGCCAGACCCAGGCCTGTCTGCACCGGAGCTGTGCCCTTAACCCAACTGGTTGGGGTGAATCTGGCATCTTGAATGTTCTGGTGTTTTCTGGGTCCAGTTCCTGCCCTTTTGCTTTTCTGTCTAACACAGCGTGGCTGTGACACTCAGGGGAGCTTGTACAGCCAGCTGGGGCAGTCAGCACCCCCAGTCGCTCTCCCTTCTCCCAGGAAATGTCTCCAGGGAGCTCATGAGGGCCAGGGGCAGGGTTCAGGCTTTGACCACGTGGAAGCCTGAATGTTAAGGCTGAGACCAGGCAAGTTCGGGCTGGGAGAAAGCTGGAGGCTGGTGGAGGTGGTGGTGGTGGGGTGGCGGGGAGGGGTCTGAGCCTCGGCTCGGACTCAGGGCAGGGCTTTTCCCAGACTGAGCCTTGCTTGGTTCTCATTCACTCTCAGCTCAGCCCGGCTTAGGAGCATATGGCCTAGCCTTCCTGCAAGCATCCGACACCCCAGGCAGGCAGGTGGCGGAGGTGGAGCCGGTGTGACAGTGGCAAGCTCCAGGCGGGCGGAGGAGAGGGTCTGGGAGGAGACCAGCTAGCAACATCTCAGCCACCCTCTGGCCGGGTGTGGGAGAAGGAGGGAGTTCTTGGATCTCGTTCATGTTCATCCAACCAGCACTGACTGGGAGCTGATGGGCGTCCGTGCCTGGCCAGCTAAGGACATGGCATAGCACATGGTCTAACAAGCTTTAGCGAGGCCAAGACTCTACCTCTGCCACCCGAGAAGAGGTCCCCAGGAGACAGGGAGATGAAGCTATGTGCAGACATGCCGCTGTCCATCAGAGGGGCTCAGCCTCATGGGCCCGGAGGGGACAGGCTAGGAAGGGAGCTAGTGGTGGGGAGGGTGTGGGGGGGCCAGGCTGCCCGTCTTCCTCCCGCTCCTTACCTTGGCAGTGCCCCTTCCGCACCATGACATAGCCCCGGGCACACTGGCAGTGGTAGGAGCCCTCCGTGTTGGTGCACTGCCCCCCGCTGCACACTCCGGGCTGCGCACATTCGTCCACATCTGCGAACACACAGAAAAGTCCTGAGTGGCAGCCGGCCCCAGGGTGGGGGTGCGGGGGGGGGGGCCTGGGACATCCTTTCCAGAGGTCAAGGGCACTTGTGCAGAGGCCCAGGCAGGGCAGGCTCTTTGTAGAGCTGGGAGGGTCAGAGAGGGCTCTCAGCCAGGGCTGACACTGGCACTGGTCTGGCACAGGCTTCCTCTAACCCTAACTTACTTTCTCTCGGGGGGCGGATACATTTGGGTACACGGAGGCCCTTGAAGCTGTCTCTGCCACCTGGCGGGAGGGCTGGTATTGAGGCTGGATGGCAATCCACACAGCACCATCTAGGAGGCCATCAAGGTCCAAGGTCCCCATCATTGGGTGTGCTACGACGGTTGTCTTCAGGACCTTTTTTTTCTTTTTAAAAGATTTATTTTATTTGTTTGAAAGGAAGAGTCAGAGACAGAGAGAGAGAGAGAGAGAGAGAGATCTTCCATCTGCTGGTTTACTCCCCAAATGGCTATAATGGCTGGGGCTGCACCAGGCTGAAGTCAGGAGCCAGGAGCTTCCTCCGGGTCCCCCACATGGGTGCAGGGGCCCAAGCACTTGCGCCATCTTCTGCTGCTTTCCCAGAAGCATTAGCAGAGAGCTGGATGAGAAGTGGAGCAGCCAAGACTTGAACTGGTGCCCAAACGGGATGCTGGCGTCGCAGGCTGCAGCTTAACCTGCCGCTCTACAATGCCCGCCCCTCTCCGGGGCCTCCTTAAAGGTTAGGAGTAGAGCAGACAGAGGGAGGCCGCACGCCAGGCAGCTATGGAGCTGCAGAGTGCGGTTTATGTCATTGTCCCAAGGCACACTGGTGCCCCGTGGCGGCTCTACACCCAGCCCTGACCATGACCATGACCTCTGCTTATGCTCCCGGGGCCCCCTGCTTCCCCCACAGCCTGGCTCACAAGGCCTTCACCACTCGGCCCCAGACTTGCTGTAATTGCTCATTTGCCTGTGCTCCTTGGCCTGGCTTTGGCCATGGCAGAATCCCCTGGGAGCAGCCTCCAAGCCCTTCTTCCCACAAATGCCTCCACCTGGAGCACCTTTCCTCACCTCGAGGGCAGCAGGCTCCTCCTCCCCTTCGAGGACTGGCCCAGTGTACTAACTCTAGGCGTCTAAGGCCACTCCCCAGCCCCTCCCCCTGGTGCCCCCTGTCCCCAGCACTGGTTCAAACGCCTCATGGAGTCCTTGGGAAGATTCCCTGAGATAATCCGGGTGAAAGGCTTGGCTCGGTGCCCACCTGGCCTAAGGTCAGCACGGAAGCAATGTCAGCTGCTGACATGACTCCAGCGCTAAGCCCGCCCTGCAAAGTCCACGCTGCTCAGCCTGGCATGGAGATCCTCATGCCTTGGCCATGCCTCTCCCACCTCGCTTCTTGCCTCCTGCACACCTCCAGGACCTCCTCAGAGCTTCTGCCTCCTGCCCCGCAGCTGCCTCCTCCTCCACTCTCAGGGAGGCTGACCCCTTCCCTCTGGGCCATCTGCCCTTTCCCAGGCTTCCCTGAGCCCAGCCCTTAGCATAACTGTGGGTTCCCTTGTTTGCTTCTCCCCGCTGAACCTCAGTGTCCTCACCCCGCTACTCCCCGCAGAGCCCCAGCGAGAGCGCATCAGGGACTCCAGCAACAGCGTTTGTTTGTGGACAGTGTTTGCAGCACTTCAGAAGCCTCCAGGCAGACCAGGGTCACCGGCAGAAGGGATGACGTGAGCCTTCCCAGGCCCACACCCCGAGATCTGACCTGGCAGGACGGGGTGGGCCCAGGAACCTGCAGTGCAACTACCGTCAGGCCATCTGGAAACCACTAGGCCTCGTTTGGAAAAGCTCTGACCCCAGTGGAAGGCCAGAGGGAACTCAGGCAGAGCTATGGTTGTGACCGGTGGGGCCTGGTGCCTGGGAAACGGACTCACTCCATGGGGGAAAAGGAAACGGGAGTGGGAAAAACTGCGCTCTTCACAGCCACGCAAACGTGGGCTCCAGGTGGACTAAAGCATCCCATAAAAGCTCAAACCGTAGCCCCAGGGGAAGGAAGTGTAGGAGAGGGGCTGGCATCATGGCACAGCAGGTTAAGCTGCCACCTACAACGCTGCCCGGCATCCCACGTGAGTCCCGGCTGCTCCACTTTCCATCCAGCTCCCGCCAGTGCACCTGGCAAGGCAGTGGGAGACCCGGATGGAGTTCCAAGCTTCTGGCTTCAGCTTGGCCCAGCTCTGACCACCACGGCCATTCTGGGGAGCAAATTAGTGAATGGAAGATTCTGTCTCTATAACTGCCTTTCAAACAAATAACCGAATTTTGAAAAAAAAAAAAAAAAAGTGGGCCAGCATTGTGGCGTAGCGGGTTAAACCACCGTCTGCAGTGCTGGCATCCCACATGGGCACCGGTTCAAGTCTCTGCTGCTTTACTTCTGTCCAGCTCCCTGCTGACGGGCCTGGGAAAGCAGCAGAAGATGGCCCAAGTGTTCGGGCTTCTGTACCCAGGCGGGAGACCCAGAAGAAGCTTCTGACTTTGGATTGGCCCAACTCCATCTGTTGCGGACATTTGGAGAGTGAACCACTGGATGGAAGTTCTCTCTTTCTGTCTCTCCCTCTCTTTCTCTCTGTTACCCTGCCTTTCAAATAAATGAATAAATCTTAAAAAAAAAAAAAAAACAGCATAGGAGATCTTTGATCCTAAAGAGAGGGGCAGACTCCTTAAATAAAGCCCTCAAACCAGAAGCAGTAAGGCAAAGCCCTGAGTTTCAACACATCAAAGTGAGGGATTGCTTTTCTAAGACACCTGGATCAGGTCAACAACCAGAGGACGACCGGGAGAGCTGCAGGACGTGAATCCAGCCACACGTCTAGACTCCACAAGGGACTCCGAAAGGCAAAGCAGCAACCAAGACTGAAGCAAGAGACGGGAGCAAGCGACTCCCAGGTGAGTCACTCGCCCAAAGGCCAGTGCACGAACTCGCTAGGAAAGTGCCTCTTATTTTAAATATCAAATAGCTTATATTTAAATATTTAAATGATTTATATTAGTTGTTTCTGTATGTACTAATTTATGGCTTGTTACGGTTTGTATTAATTATACAGATCAGCGAATTCATAAAGAAGATAGACAATAAATAAAGTCACCGAAAATATCACTCTGGGATGGCAACGTTCAGAAAGTGCACATGCCCCTGGATGAGAACGCGCGAGCAGCAGCCAAGGCCCACTGGGAGAGGCACTCACAGCCGACCTCAAGCCCCACCTCCTCTGCCCCAGCTGGCGGGGCTGGCCAAGACATCTGGACGCCAGGCTGGCACAGGGCAGAACCCTTGTCTGGCCAGTGCTGGTGACACTGATCCCTACGGCGGCCACTGCTTGCCCTGGGCTGGCTCCCTGGGCAGGGTCTACATGCAGGCTGCTGGAGCCTGCAGAAGCCGCCTGCTCCCTGCTTCTTTCCGGGCCCCCTTGGCCCGCTCCTGCCCGAGTCACTTCCCTGAAGGCCAGCGGATCGCGTCACTGCCCTGCTGCTTAGAGACCCCTCTTGCCCGCGGGACGGCGCCCAGGCACTGCAGCCTGGCACTCGAAACTTCCGAACTGGCCCCAGCTCCTCTGCAACCTCCACGGCCCCCGTGCTCCGGGCACACCGACCTCGTCACAGGCCTCTCCAGAAATGACCCCCTCTTACCTGGACCCCCCGTTCCTACCTACACTCCACCGTGGCGTCCAGCACGGCGTATGGTTGGCAGCCAACCATGCCTGGGAGTTGGAATCACTTGGACGCTGTTTCCAGCTCAGCCGTGACTAGGCGTGAGGTCCCTGGGGTTTCAATTCACCTCTCTGAGCCTCAGTTTGCTAAACTATAAAATGAGGACAAAGATTTCCACTGCAGGGGTTGGGGTGATGAACTTCACACAGGATAGGGCCGGCACCTCCGTACTCGTTAAATGGAAATTAATATTATTCTGCCCCAGCTCTAGCAGCCCCTGTGGGAAACCTTCCGGAATGCTCTGCTACGGAACCAGCTGCTTCCCCGTCTGGATCCTGCAGTGCCCACGTTCCCGCCTCCTTGGGCTCAGCATCCTCAGGGCTCAGCTCGGCGCCTGGCCCACATGTGCTCGCTCTGGAGTGCTCCCTTCTTCCACCAGACTGGGTGCTGTCTTCTCTGCCCCTCCCCTTCCCACCATGATCAAATCAGAGGCCCTGGATGGCAGACCAGGTCTTTGAGGGGCTTAGAACCGAGGTGACCTTGGCAATGAGGGGTGGGGCACCCAGCTTCCTGGGAGTGACCGTGGGGCTGCCCTGGCCAGAACCAGCAGTGTGAGCCCTAAGAGGGGGCAGCAGTGCTCTCAAGGTCAAGGTGAAGGATGTCCTGCTGGGGTGAATCCAAAGGCTCTGCTTGCAGAGTGCTGCGTTATGTTCTGTGTGAACTCAGTCACAGAAATGTACGTGGAATGTTCTGGTCACGACGGGGCTTGCAGTGCACCTGAGCTCACCAAGCGTCCCCTAGCAGAGGGCCAGGCCTTCCCAGGGAAGCTCGGAGCCGTGCGGGTGTCTCCAAGCCGCTGGGATCCGTGCCCCTCTCTCCAAAGCACAGATGGGTCATGGGTCACCCGCCCTCCCCGAGATGGAAGCAGCTCCTTGTCACTCTGAGTGCAGAGACCTGGTTTTGGTCCCCGTCTCCAGCCTGTCCCCTGCCCCTCTCACGCTCTTGGCTCAGAATTCCTTAGGTCCTTTAGCAAATATCGCTGCTTGGTGGACTCCTGTCCCTTCTGCACATCTGGGTGCAGGATCAGCTTCCACCCCGGCCCAGGCAGAGTCTGGCCTCTCTTCCCCCAGCTCCCACACTCCCCACACTGCAGTGTGGTGGCAAGGGACTGCGAATGCCTCAGGCCTCTTCCACCCCAGGAGATGTGGGCCCAGCCAAGACGCTTTGTCCTGTCCTTATCCCGGGGCCAGGGTGGGCACAGCTTACCTTGACACTGCTGTGGTGCCCCCTCGGTGGCCAGCGTGTAGCCGGGGTAGCAGAAGCAGCTGTAGGAGCCCACGCTGTTGACACAGCGCCCTCTTCCTGCACACGGGTCCCTCAGACACTCGTTGTCATCTGACCAGAGCAGGGTGGAAGCGAGGTTAGGGCGACCAGCAGTGGAGTCTGGGGTGACGGCTAGGACCTCGTCCCTGCCCCTGTCCCCTTCCCCAGGGGCCTGCTGACCACCTGCTCTCCTTGGAGACCATGGTGGATGTGTCTCCCCTATATAAAGCTACTGGGAATGGGGAATGATGTCCACTCTTAATTTATCTGCCCCAAACCTTCCCCAGCGATGGCCCTGGTGGAGGCTTTTACAACTGGGGCAGATGTGGGTCCACTCTGCAGGTAGCAAAATGTCCAGTTTGAGGAGTGGGTGGAGGGCTGCCAGATGCTGGTGGGGTACACTGGGGTTCACCCCCACTCTCCTAAGTCCTGGAGACTCATGGGATGAGGCTCACAGAGGCAGGTCCTCCCCTGAAGGTCAAGGTCAGCCTTGTCCACAGGGACCGTGCTCCTCATAAGCTCACTGACACTATAGCACTGCCCGGGCCTTCTGCTACCTGGACCCCTGACTCGGTGCCCCAGCCCCGCTCCCGTCTACAGTAGGCACACAGTCGGCCCAGGGCGCCTGAGTGAACACCTGTGCAGTAGGCCTGGCTGGGGTGCAGCCGGTAGCCGGGGCTGCAGACACACGTGTAGCCTTCTGGGAGGTTCACGCAGGTTCCAGGGCCACAGAGGGTGGCGGCTCCAGCAGCACATCTGTCAATGCCTGTGGGAGACAGGGCAAAGTGGAGGTTACAGCCAGGTGCGGCGTGGACGAGGGCAGTGGAGTTGGCAGGGGTGGGGAGGGGTCAGGCCTCAGAAGACCAACGAAGTCCATAGCTCCTTAGCCAAGCCCTTCCCTGTCCACGCACAGCAGGGCCTCCTGTAAGACCCCGGGGCCCGGGATGGACTTGCAGATATGCCTTGCTTGATGGAGACCTGCTAGGTCCCAGGAACCCAGTGGTCAGCCTCCCTGCTGAGGCCTGCACCTGACCTCCCTGTGACCTCCCTGTGACCCCTGGCACATCTCTGCCTGGTCATCCCCGGGCAGGCTCCTTTACAGACTGACTAAGGAGAAGGGTGCATGGGGACAACTGCCCAGGGAAGATGGGAGGGGCAGACTGGGACCCAGGCTGCCACTTTGAGAGTGGCCTGGGAGAAGGGAGGTGGTCACAGAAGGGACTGTCTTGGCAGCAGGGTGGCAGAAGGGCCCATGCATGGCGGGATGCAGAGGGCCTTCGAAGTCTGCTGAAACCATCACAGGAGGGTGTTTGGGTGGTGGAATGATGGATGAATGAAGGCAGGACGCTTTCAGCCTCTGTGCTCCCTGAGGTCACAGCCTGAAGCCCACATCCCCAGGGGTTCCCCTCCCGCCCCGCAGCTCCAAGGGAACCCGGATCCCCAAGGGAGCAGGCTGGGAAGGGCCCGTGCTGGTGCACAACACACTCAGTCTCTGCTACACTGCGCTGAACTGAATGCACGCTCTGGCCTGCTTGCCAAGCCCGAGTCTGTGTGCACCCAAAAGGGGTGAGGCTGGGGGATGGCAGGGCACGAGGGAGATCCGGCAAAAAGCTGGGGCTGGGGGCTGGGAGGCCTCCGTCTCCCACAGGGCCGAGAGCTGGCCTGGCTTCCTTGCCTTGTCCCTTCCTCCTGGCTTTACCGCAGCTTAGCCCAGCCCGGCCCAGCCCGGCCCACTGAGCAGAGGAGGGGAGAGGTCAGCAGGGATCCCAGGGAGGCCATGCCCCATCTTACTCCTGCACGGTCCCCCCAGGCTGCAGGGGCTCCCCTCTTGCTGGAGGAAATCCAGACCCCTCCTCACCTTCCTCTCGGGGCCTGAGGTTAAGAGAGCAGCAAGCCCTGGGAGAGAGCTCGTGGGCAGGCCCATTCTAGCACGGGGTGGGGGTGGGGGTGGGGGTGGCCGCCACGGTACCCGCCTGGCTCCTCGGCACCCTGTCCCCACACAATGAGCCTTTGAGGAGGCCACATTCCAGAGCCAGGTGCATCTGCCAGGGGTCTCCCCCACAGCTGCCCCCATCGCCGGCCAGAGGGACAGCAATGCAGCTAAACAATCTTAAGAATCAGAACCGCGTTCCTTCCCGAAAACCAGCCTTCCCCCGGGAGACCCCTGGCTTCCACGGAGGGCTCTGAGTCAGGCCCTCTCCCAGCAGCCGCCCCCCTGGGCTCATCAGGGCCGCAGACAAGGCTTCTTGTCTGGGGGGAGGGCACTGTGCTCTTGGAAAGACGAGGCTGGGGCCGCAGAGCCTGCATGGGGGTTGCTGGGCAGGAGGGGTTCTGCTTGTACCTGCGCCCTGGAGCCTGCTCCCAACAGCCGTGTCTCCCAAAGCAGGGTGCACAGAGCCCCAGAGGGCTGCCTGCAGCTACCTGGGGGGCCTGTGGTCACAGGCACAGCGGCCGAAGGGGTCACTTGTTCCTCTTCCTGGGGCTCTGCAACCTCCCGTGCAGGCAGTGGTGGCGTTGGTCTTCCGGTGGCGTCCTCTGCAGAGGACAGAGGGCAGCAGGTGAGTGGCCATGCCCTCCTCCTTGCTGTTCTAGAACCTGGGGTGCTGCCCAGGGTGGGTCGCCCCTTGAGCTTCCTAGCCTCCTGAAATGTGACCGGGCCCCCTACAGAGAGAATCTAGGAGCTTGCTGAGGTCTTGGAGCACACCCATTTCACAGGCAAGAAGACTGAGGCTGGCAGAAACAGCTACAGTCCCAGGTCAGCCAGCTGGGTGGAGGCAGAGCTGATCCCCACTGCAGCTTCCTCCTCCTCCTGTTTGCAAAGGGTCCTACAGCGTTCTGCCACTGACTCAGGTGTTTGAGAGGCAGCAGGACAGGAGTTGGTGCCCAGCACATGGGTGCAGGAAGCTGAAATCTAGCCTTGTGGTCTCTGAGCCTGTGGGCTGTGTGCTGGGCTCTGCAGAACCCTCTCAGTTCAGGGAGGCAGCCACAAGGTCCCCCGGGGGAAAGAGCTCGAGGGACCCAACCCACTCCCATCCTGGGGAGTGTGCTTTCTCTTTGGCCTGAGCTGTGCACTGGGTGACACCCTGAAATCCAGAGTTTGTGGCTAGAAAGCATTAGGGGGTCTCTCACTGGCTTCACAAGCCCGCAGTCATATGGACATTCTGGAAGGAACACTCTGAAGTCGGGTCATTCATGACCTCCCCTGATGAGAGCCCCAGGGGCCAGCTCACTCCACCACCAGGTCAAGGGCCCACCTCCCCTCCCTTCTTTATTCCCTGGGAGCCGCTGGGACTCACCTGGGACCCAGGCAGGTAGGTGGGCGACACTGGTTGTGACCTGCATGGGAACAAGAGAGCGTCACCCCCATGACGCACACCCTTCCTCTGGGCTTCTTATCCAACTTGCTCTTTTGCTTTTTCATTCATTCCAGGTATGGGAGAGCTCTTATGTATGCTGGGCATTTTGCTGGGCACTTAATGCCCACAGTCTTAAACAGCCTCTTAACCTCAACTAGCTTGGCCTGTAACCCGCCTCCTTACATGGTCCCTCCTCTTCCACCTCCTGCCACACCGGCTCACTCCCAGGACAGTGGCCCACTGATGACGTGAGCCAGGCTGTGTTCTGCGCCAGGGTCTGGCATGCGGGAGACTCTCAGCCAGCGGGGTATGAGTGCTACAGTCACCGTGTCTCAGACAGGGCAATGGACACCCAGAAGGTGAGTAGAACAGTTCGGGCCACAGGACCAGCGTGGTGAAGCCAGGACCCAGGGTCGCACCTGGTGTCCCTCCCCACAGCCGTGGGCAGAGGCAGTGGGTGCGGCTGGGTCCGCGAGCACACAGGAAGAGATTCCTGGCCTGGGAGGACCACACAGTGCTCCAGGGGGAGAGCAGCCCGCAAGAGACACAGTGCTGGGGCTCAGTCAGCTATGCAGGTCGGAGGGGCAGGGGACATGGCAGGGCTGGAGACCGGCAGAGGAAGTAGCAGATCAGCCCTTCCAGAAAGTTCTTCTAAGAGGACACCCTGCTCTTCATAGGAGTACCCTGGGCACAGGGAAAGGAGTCAGATGCCCCCTTTGCAGCAAAGCGGTCCGAGGTTATTCACAGCTGTGCCTCGACTTCCCCAGGAGCCACTCACAGAGACCTTAAAGTCTCAGCTGATCTGGGTCAGAAAGTGCCAGATCCAGAAGGAACCGGAGCAGGCTGTGGACCTCCTGTGCAGTGGAAGCCAGGACTCACTGGATGAGGTCCTACTTCCTTTCTGAAGGGCCCAGAGCACGGCAAATGGGAGGCTGCTTGCAGGCCAGCTGCTCCGTGAATGTGACCTGCTGTCTCCCCGCTTTGTGGTGACACTGGGTCTTTGGCTCAACCCTCCCACCAGCCATTGCTCTGGTAAAACCCGACGTAGCCTCCATCTTTTCTCCTCTCCCTCTGCTGTGGGACACTGCCCTGGGGCCTCAGGGACTGCCAGCTCTCTGCCACCCTGGCCCAGCTCCCTAGGGGCAGGCGTCACTCACCTGGCCGGCCGCCGGGGAGGCACCTGGGAAGGGAAGAGAAAGTGCATGAGCTCTGAGCATGGCCGGGGCTGCTTCACAGTCTGCACCCCAAAACAGGTCCTCAGCAGGTGCAGCAACGGAGAGAGCACAGACTCTCTCCCTGTCTCCACTGTCAGCCCGGGCGAAATTGGCCAGCACAGATTCCCAGAATCCCAGGTCTTGCCAGGGATGGGGAAGGAAGTTTGGCTCACCTCTCCCTCATGGAGAGCAAGCCTGCTGCTTTCCTTCAAGGTCCTCCCTGGACCCCCACCCCCACCCCAGGGCCCGTCCACCCACCAATCCTGTAGCCTACCCCTTCCTCTCCTGCCTCCCAGCCACACTGGGCCCCTTAGCCCCTGCCCTGGGCTTTGTCTTCACTGCCTTGTCTGTCCCAGACTCCTGGAGCAGTTTTGGTG